TCTGTTTCGTTAGATGCTGGGCTGATCTGGAAGTGCCGTGAGCTATTGTAAGTTTTGCAAGTGTTAGAAAACTTTCAGTTCTGAACTGATTTTAGGATACTGAAAGACGTTGATGACTGACTGTCTTATCCATGTATGACTTGGACTGTTTGATGGACTCTGATACCTCTATTTCCACGAAAGTAAAAGTCTATTTAAACTGCAATGTCTCTGTATGCTGGTTTGTGTGTTCTCCAATACAACTCTCACAACGCTTTGCTGAACGTACTCGCTCTCCCAACAGGGAGCTTACTTAACAGATAAGATTCTATCTGTTACTTCAATGCACATACCTTCAAATTAGCAACTTCAAAACCACACAAGGACTCTAAATTATATACAGAAATGGGCCAGAAATCAGGTTATGAATGTTCAGCATTTTAGTAGACAATGCAATATCTCAGCTATAAAGTGTAATTTCACAAAAATCTTCAAAGACGGCCTCACATACTGTATATGGTAACACTCATCCTGATTGTTTTAAAGCTGTAGCTAACCATAGCCAATCTATTTCCAGCCAAAGGACAATGTAATTTGTTTATTATTCTAAGAGGTACTCGATATGATGTCAACATTGGTCAAAACTGTAACAACGTGCCTCCCTGAAAACTATGAAATGGACCCTAACAAAGAATAGGTTAAATTTCAATTATCTGAATAGAGAAACCACATACCTACAGAATCTTCAATGTGTTGAAATTAAACTTTAATCTGGCTCTCATCCAGCCCATTACTGGTTCCAGGTATAGCACTTCTGTAGCCTCATCTAAATGACATGTAAAAGAGAAACAATTTTGAAAGAAAAAATAGTAATAATTAACCTTTGACAATTTTACTCAATGGTTTGATATAGATGCTGAATAACAACTGAAAAACATTCAAAACCTTAAGCTGGAATCCTTCCAAATATTGTTTTTCCTCTTCTGAATTCTTCCATTTTTCATCAAAAACTACAGAAAATATAGATTACAATTACTGTGTAGCTGTAATTCCAATCATTCTATAACAAAACTATTGTAGAGTTGTTTGTGCTGAACTGACTTTTCCCACAATTCTCAATCGGAAAAGTATTAATCCTGCTGGCTGGGAATTCTGGGTAATATAGAAATGAATTTTAGAGAATTTAGCTAATGTGACCACAATCTGTAGGAAAGTAACTATCTTGATTTTTATATAATTTGTCAAGGTAATCAGAACAAAATAATGTACGGATGTTTATAATTTCTTATTTGAATTGAAAGTATTTTCACAGTGATACTCTGCATGTCACAGGATTCACTGATGTCAGCAACTTGTTCCATATTCTATTAAAAATTGAAATTATATGCAAATCTAAATATCAGTTATTTTTTTCCCTCTACTTCTTCCCCTTTTGCTTTTCAGTTCTTACATAAAATTTTTAGAAGTTCAGAAGCTTAGTTAAATTGCAAACATTAACTGTAGTGCAAAATACTTATTCTCAACAAGAAAAGAAAGATTACTTCACTGTGGGTGTATCTAGCCATATCTAATGGTCAAACAGCATTTTTCAACTTAATTATCAAAAGTTTCACTTTGCTATTTGAGAGGCAATAGCTAAGAATGGAGCAAGTTTTCTGCTATAAAAAGATCACCTAGAAAAGTTAAGCATGGGAATATTAATATATGTAACTACCATATCAGTCACTATCATCCTTGGCTCTTGGAAGCTACAGAATAAACTGGGCTGGAATTATCTGATCCATAATTCTAATCTATATCTATCTGAAAATTTATGTAATTAAACTTTGCAGAACAACTCTTATTACGTTCTATTAGAAGTGTCAAGCTCTGAAACAGCAGACAGAAAAAAACCCACCTATGATATATTAATACAGAAGGGATAATTTTATATAAAGTCAAGACAACACTTGACTGAAGAAGGATGTTGTTTTCAATAGTTTCCATATATTCAGTTAAAAGAAAGGTTTTATATTGATTAAAATAATAATTGGAATTGAAAAACTAAACAGAAATTGGCATTATGTACAAATAATAAAACTTTTGTTAAGATCTGAAACAGAATAAGTTAAATATTGCATGACAAAATTGTCTATTAAATTTAGCTTAATACATTTCCTTATAAAGAGGATTCACTAACTCTTTCCAAACTAGAAATGTATAGGCCATTGCTTTTTTCTCCACTCACAAATGCGGCAGCCTGAAGACAGCTTTAGATGTTCTGCTCTGGAAGCTGTGTTTTCTCTCTTCCCTCCAGATATGGCATGTCAGAAATGCTGGTTATGTTGAAATACTTGGAGGAGGAGATCTGAAATGATGTGTAGGCAAGCTTGTGGCTCCAACTGATCCTGCCTATTTCCTGTTAGAACACCCCTTTTCATCCAGCTCCTGACCAATATATTATCTTGCCCTCTTGATCCTCTTTGGGCTGTGAAGGAGACCAGATCCTGACTTTCATAGTCACTTTTTAAAATCATGTCACAGATCCACCAGTTGACCTAAAGTGCAAAGCCCTTGAACTGAATAGCCATTGGTGAAGAGGAACATGGAGTTGCCATGGAAGAAAAAATTCAACAATAGCTAAGCAGACACTAGCTTAGCCCTCTGGAAGAAGTGAGGAAAAAAAAAACACCTCAAGATTGTCTCGCCTTGATTTACTTTATAATAAGAGCATGGAGAGAGAATCTCTTCATCAGGCTGTCAAGACTGTGTTATTATATTCTGCAACCATGAAGTAAGGTTCCAGTAGTCCTTGTGGAATCTGTTTCCTAAGCTGGGCTACCTTAAAGGGCTGATACTGGCTTTAGATATAAAACTGGAAGTAAAGCTAAAAGGATTTGTCCATTGTACATCCATACCCTGCTTACCAGGGAATTTCTTTCCTAGTAAGCCACTGCTGGGAAGAACCATAGTTCCAGACTTAATCTTCTTGGGTAGTTTATGGCTTTCTGAGGCAAATCCTTTCTCAATCACCAACTCAAGACACTCTTTTTGCTTCTTCTTAAGTGGTTGACGGGTTGAACAGGTTGTTCCATCATTTCAAGAAATAAAACTTTAATCACTCTAGGGGGGGGGGGAGGACACAAAATTAAATGAATGGGATCAGCAGAACATTGTGTATGCCAATTTTGCAGAGACTTTTTCATGTGGTGAATGATGTTCACCACTGGAATTCCAGTCAAGTCAAACAACCTATTTACAGCCCTAAAGAATGTATGCACTTAGGTTGCATTGACAACAACACTGACCTGTTCTGGGTCCTTTTTTTTGGGGGGGGGAAGCATAATTTAGAACAGATTGATTTGAGTGTGGAGGGTCATTTTCCAAGCTTGTGGGTCAGACCACACCTCCACCCTCATCCTACACCTGAGCTAGATATTCTCCACTATCAAACCAACAGATTGATTTCTTGCTTGGATCCAGGAGAGGAAGGAGCATGGAAATGTATGGGATGGGGACACTTTTATTAAAGCACCTATGGCGTTGGACAAGATCTCCCAGCTACTAAGGGCAAGGCTTGTGTCATATCACTGCGATTCCTGACGGGGGGGGGGGTTAGGGGGTCCCAGGGAAATTGTATGTATGTGTGTGTGTTTTATTGAGTCATTCGTGCCCAAGATAACAGGAATAAGAATAAACATGAATAAGAACACAGGAAATGGGTAGAGCACATCCATACACATTCACATCCCCACACACATTTTGCAAAAAACCTCTTCCAAACGAAGCACTGGCCGATCCTCTTGCATGTCCCACCTCCACCCACCCTTCCCTGGCTAATTTGTAAGCAGGCAAGACAGGCCAGGCAAGGGAGCCGCTGCTCCTGAAGTACGCCCCGACCCCAAGGTTTGCTCAAGGAGCAGAGCCGAAGCACCTCGGGATAAGGGAAGATAGGCGGCGGAGGAACGGACAAGGCAAGGCAAGCACAGGCAAAGATCCTGGCTCATTCGGCTGTCTCTTTTTCCACACCATTCCCCACCACCACCACCACCCCGCTGCCCACCAGCCCCGTGCGAGCGACAGCGCTGCCTCCCGGCGCTTGGCGTCACTCTCGCGTCGTTTACTCACCGACGGGAGGCCCCGCGGACCCCACGCGCGATATTCAGCGCCGCGCCGCCGGCTTCCGCTAACCGTCCTGCGCACGCGCGCCAAGAGGCCCGGGCCGAGCCTAGGGAAAGAAAAAAAAAAAGGCCATCTCGGTGCTTCCTACCGGCTTGCTTTTCCCTGTTGCATATATGTATATATAAATATATAAATAAAAACCCGGCGGCTTCCTGTTGCTTTCGCTTGACTTCCGCCCAAGCGAGAGCGAATTGGGTAGAAAATCTTGCTCCCTCCCGGCATGGAGAAGGAGGAAGCGCCGCTTCGTTTGAAAGGCATGTGAGCTTTGATGGTAGAGCCAAAGTCTCTGCAGCTGGTCCTCGACTTACGACCACAGCGGACCACAAAGGGATTCTCAGAAACTGAAAAAGTACCGAATTTTTTTACACTAAGCATGTTAATACAGCTAGTCCTTGACTTAGGACCACAGCTGAGTCCAACATTTCTGTTCTTAAGTGAGACATTTGTGAAGTGAGTTTTGTCCCATTTTGCGACCTTTCTTGCCACAGTTAAGTGAATAGCTGCAGTTGTTAAGATAGTAACCTGGTTGTTAAGTGAATCTGCCTTCTCCATTGACTTTGCTTGTGAGATGGTCACAAAAGGGAATCATATGACCCTGGGACACTCCCAATTGTTATAAATACATGCAGGTTGCCAAGCATCTGAATTTTGGTCCTGTGACCAAGGGGATGCTGCAATGGTCGTAAGTGTGAAAAACTAATAGTC